TGATCCATACATGGTTTGTGGAACCCACAGTTGTAGAACTGCTAGATATGGAAGGCTGGTTATAGAAGTGTTTTTGCGGGCCTGGTGAGATGGCTCAGTGGTCTAAAGCACCTACTTAGAACAAGCTTAGCAAAGCACAGGGACCGCAGTTCAATCCCCCAGCACCACATGCCAGCCAGCCCCGCCCCCTGGTGGGCTGAGCTGCCCCCCCCACATAAATAAATAAAAATTTTAAAAAAAGAAGTGTTTTTGCCATTAATGTTGTTCCCACAGCTATAATTTCTGCTCTGTATTACTTCCCTTCCTCCTTTGTCAGAGAGATACTTGACCTACATTAGGGCTCACTAAATGTTTGTGGAAGGAAGGAGTGAGGGAGTGCTGGAACTCTGAAATTCATGCATGTTTAACTAGTTCATTTATGAAATGAAAACTTTTGAAAGGCACTGTTAGCATGTGTAGAAAGGAAGTGGTGAGGTTGGTAGGTGATGAGATTGGCTCCTTTTTAGTTTTTAACTTGCATTTTCTGTGCAGGCCTGAAGGCATTGAAAGACAATACAGGAAGAAGTGTGCAAAGTAAGTATGAACAATCGAAGTTTCTCCAAGCATAGTCAAGGAGAAGCATAATGTCTTAGGAAAATAATATTTGAATGTCATCCTCTGTTGTGCCTCTATCCTTATCTGAAATGTCTTCAAACCAAATATATCATTAATATACTTCCTCAAGAGATTAGTCAAGCCTACCATGTGTGAGTCTGCATGGTAACCAACACCGTGTTTCTCAGGTGCACTGTGTACTTTGCTTTTACCCTCTTTTCTCTTCGTTTGGCCTAAGTTCACTCTGCAGAGCTGGTTTCTATCATACCCCCTTGCCCCACACTTTTCAAATAAACATTTGGCAAAACAAAACAACTAGTCAAAGGTACATCCCCAACCAGCAACCACAAAAATAAATATTTAGCATAGTCTAGTTTTTAAAAATTGAGATATAATTTATTTTTTTTGAGATATAATTTATATGCAATCAAACCTGCCCATTTTTTGCCAGGCATGATGGTGCACATCTGTAACCCCAGCACTGGGGAGGCTGAGGCAGGAGGATTGTAGCCAATTCAAGGCCAGGCTGGGCTACATAGTGAATCTGAGGTCAACTTGGACTATGTTGTGAGATCCTGTCTCAAAAAAATTGCCCTTTTTTTTGGTGGTACCGGGGATTGAACTCAGGACATTGCACTTTCCAGGCAAGTGCTTATTCTACTGAGCCATCTCCCTGGCCCCAAAATTGCCCATTTTAAGTATACACTTTGATGTGTTTGATGAAACAATAATGATATAACATCATCACCATTATATAAGTAATTTCTAGAATTTCATACATATATCCTTTTGTGGCCAATCTTCCTCTGTTCCTTCTGTTATGAACTGCTTTCTGTCACAATGGTTTAGTCTTTCTTAAAATTTTATATAAATTCCATTTATGTGTTCCACTCACTACAATATGTATCTTTTGTACCTGGCTTTTTAACATTTAGTATAATATTTCAGGAATTCATCCAGGTTGGTACATGTGTCAATCATCTGTTTTTCTTCGTTGCTCAGTAGTATTCTACTATATCACAGTTTGTTTGTCCACTTGCTCATCCAAGGACATTTGAGTTGTTTTCTGGTTTCGGATATTACCAGTAAAGCTGCTGTGAACACTCTAGTATAAATCTTAGCGTAAATGTTTATTTTCTGCTGGAATAGGATACATTGGAGCATATGGTAAGTGTAACACAGTGTATTGTAGTCTAGACTGATTTATAAAGTCAATTATAGGATCATAGACCTAAGATTGTTAAATAATATCACTCAAAGCCAAAAAGTATGGGCCAGTGAGATAGCTCAGTGGACTAAAGTGCCTGCTTAGGCAAGCTTAAGCAAGCACAGGGACCACGGTTCAATCCCTGGTACCACATGCCACACTGGCTCCACCCCTAGGCGCACTGAGCCTGCAACTGAGACCTGGCATGGTGGTGTATGCCTGTAATCCCAGCACTGCGGAGGCTAAAATCAGGAGGATCACCACGAGTCCAAGTTGTGTAATGAAGCCCTGCAACAACCAAATACATTTTTTTTT